AATTAACTTTTCCAAATTGAAACATCCCGTACAGTGTAGTTTCGATCAGGTCAGCAAAGTTCATAGACGTCAGGTCCTGTAGAATTTGCAAAAACCGCTTACCGTGCGATACTACCTAGGTAAGCAATATCGAAAGGTAATGGTCAGTCTTATTGCAGAAAATTGCAAACCTAGCATCGATTTCGAATATAAATAGTACCCGAGTATTATTGATACAAATATTAGTGATTGTCCATTGAAAAATGTTCGCTGTCTCCCCGACTTCATTCCTGCTGGTCAACCCCATGCTAGACGTTGTAATGCAAGAACTGTTTTTTTCAAGTGTTGTTTTGCGTTGTGTTTCGTTTGGCAAGCCATTATGTTATTTTTCTTCGCTAACCTGTCATGTGGCAAGCATTTATCTACGATTTTTTCATTGATTAAATAAATGTAAAATTTTATATGAAAACTGTCTCGACTTATTTGGGGATGAATGAGGTTGGGTGGTGAAATGATCAGAGCCTCTCGTCAAAAAGCCAAGCGAGTGGTTAAGTTACGACCTACAGGAGGGTCAACATCTGAGATGCGACAATATAGTGGTCTTGGTGGGAATGATGGTACGAGACATTGATATCAGGTATACTGAATTCCGCCTTTCCAGCGATAATACAGGCTTGAGTTTTTCTGACGTCGAATTCAACTAGGTTGTTGGTTCCCCAGGCTCTAATTTCCGCAAGATATTCATTGACAGCTTTGGCCTGCCTTCGTCGTTATCAGTTTCCTGGGAAGAAATGGTAATTCTAGAGAAAAAAACAGCAGTATGGAGAGTACTATCGTCTGCAAAGCTGTGGATAGGGCTAGTGGTTGCTCCCAACAGATTATTGATATGAAGTAGGAACAATGTTGGTGCCAAGATTGATCCTTGCAGAACGTCGGAATTTAGTGTAATGATATCAGACGATACTCCATCCATATTGAATAGGGTGAGTCATTGAAATGGGAAAGTGAGATAACGGCTTCGCTGTTTGAGATAGATGAACAAGAATTTTCGTGATGGTTTAGGCTCATGAGCAGCACATTTCCAAAATATTTCGCGTTTATTCAGAACGAGTTTTTTCTTATGGAACACCCTGTATTTCATTGCATCGTTGTGGTTCTGATAATAGTAATATGGAGCTTCTTCTAGTGCAATTAGATTCGAAATAATATTTGAAGTGGGTAAATTCATAACGTTTTTACCGTGTGGTGAGAATATTCTACCTGCATCAACAGCAGGTTTATTCAAATTTCAAGGATGTTCGAATTGTAGTTTCAATATAAATACAACAACAGAGTGACATATTTGTGTATGGACCAGGTGCTCTAATGGCAAATACCGCGCCAGTGCCAGCTATAGGAACAAGAAGTGGAAAATGTTAGGTTAGTGAGCATATCAACGATAATAATAGCGATTATTTATTCCTCTCCATACTACACTATGTTTGACTTGATTATCAAATGAAGCTGAACAATATCGTTGTTTGTGACAAAAAAACTATTGCTTGCCGTGATTATTCAAAAACAAGTTATCCATCCCGAGAATAACGAATTAAATACAGATCGAGCAAGTATTTGAATCTTGAAGGCTTCCCTGACCAAAACAAAAATACTTAACTGAGATGTTTATAATTCCAATACTTAACTATAATAAGGTTTATTTATATCTCCAGCATCGGTATGAAATGGCAAATCTGCCGAAATTGGAAACAAATCAGGTATGCGTCTCAACCCAAATAACCAACCGTCACAATGTTGTTTATTCTTGATGACGCCCAGTACATCGTTTTTAGTTCCTAGGAGCTAAAGTTGAACTTTAGCTCCTAGGAACTAAATATGTTGCCTAGCAACATATCTATTTTTGTGTCATTAATAGAAACGTCAATTTAAGAGCTGATTTTGGTATCAAAATGGACGACTTTTGTGTCGGTTGCAGAAAAAATAAATTCTTTCCCTTGAACACCTTGTCTTTCCAAAACAAGCAACTTTTAACAAGGCATTTTAGGCTAAATCTTCATATTTTGGTGTTTACTATATAACAAGGGGAAGCTTTCGTGACTGTTCTATAATAATATTCTTGGAAATATTAGTGGGATGCAGTCTGGACCAATGAATCAATTAAATTTCTTCGTTATTTGTCGTCGAGCTTTCGAAAATTTTTATTTTTTTTATCAAGACTAACTAAAAACATCGAATGGAACAATAATATCAAAATATAAATGTACATCAATTGAAATTGGTGTACTTACAAACATGAAATTCTATATAAAATTAGCACAAAAAGGAAACATAGGTGTATAAATAAAATGAAATGATTTGACAAAAAAATGTCATAGATGATGGTTGACTTATTTGAAGATGTTGAATACAGAGTGAGATGAATACTGATATATATAAAAATACTGATATATGAAAAATGTTTGTAGATTATATATAAAACATGAATCATTCAAGGAGGACGAGTTGATTTTTTATCTTTTTGTTTCTTTAGAAGGAATGTATAAATGGTACTAAGATCGTTGATCTGTTCTTTTGTTCATCGTTTCATCATTTTCATTAATATGTACCATTTCAAGAAAGAGGCGTTTGTTAAGATGTTTTTCATAATCCAGAATTTTGGCATTATCATAATTCATTATATGATCTTCATCTATAACATGTTCAGCAAGGCTACATGATTTTAAATTTCTTCTACAATCACTTTTATGTGAAGTGATTCTGTCTTTTAACATTCTACAAGTTTGACCAATATAAACTAGATTAGATTAGATTAGGAATTTCATAAATAATATTCGATCTATTTTTGACTGGTTTACTATATATGTAGAACGAGAAAGAAAAACTCAAAGTCGTCTCCACAACATATGTAGTTCTGAGATTGTCATTCTCAAGATATCTACATATCATCTACGTAAATATATCCAAATGATGATAATTTTTTTCTAGTTTTTAGTTCTAAAGTTTCCAGCTCAAGCATAATCTTGTTGTTCATGAAGTTATTTAAACTAATGTGCTCATGTCATGTCTGCTGTATATTTATATATTCATGTCATCATATTTTGCAGTTGTTTACTAACAGTTGAAATTTTCTGAATTTATAATTTTATCGCCCGTTTTTATCAAAACTGGTTCTATTAAAATGCATTTAAAAATTTGTGGAGCAATAATTAGGACCAATGAAAGTTTATATCTACGTGGTGTTGTAGGTAAAGGGCTTTCACGCTGGGTTGATAGTTGCGCAATACTTGGTAACAATGTCGTGCCAAAACTGCACATCGAAAAATACTAGTAACTTTCGAAATGGGCGAACCGCGTTATCGATTTAAGTTGGCAAAACTGTACACCGATGCCAGATTTATTTGACATTTCTAGAAGCGATTTGTTGTGATCAGCTGATCTCTGCGAATTATTCATTACTGACAATTTGTACTTTCAAGGAATTGTTTGTGATTTATTTGTGGATCATAGGTGAAATTCGATTTATTCAAAATGTGTAAAGAGTTTCTGAGGCCAGTTACTTCAGAAATATGGGCCAATAGTGTTCGCCATACTGAACAAATAATTCAAAGTTGGTGGGAGAGAGAAAATATTTTGGATTTGGATGCTTCTGATGATAGTGAGAATGATTTTGATGACAGTGAAGAAGATTAAATGACATTTGAAATTTTCCAGTGAAAATTGTATTATTTAGTGTAAGATTATGTCTGTAGATTAGGGTTAGAAAATGGTATTATATAGTGTTAGTTTATTGTAATGACATGACAGTGGTTTCATGAGTTTGTGTGGGTTTTCTTCATGAATTATATCGAGAATATTGAAGTAAGAACAACTCTTGTTGTCTATTTCATAATTTCTAATATAAGTAGATGCACCACTATTTATTTTCCAACGAAATAAAATCAATTGATCGAATTTCTATTTCATTTCACCAATTTATAGTAATTGGAAAACATTCAAGATGATTAGATAACCTCAAAAGTGAATTCGAAGTTTTCATTATTTTCACTCAGTAAATGTGAATACTGATCAGTATTATTAAACAAAATTAATTCAAGACATAATTGTGATTGTTTGTTGATGTTGTTATATAATAAATCATTCTTCAAGTTATTATTCTTTATAAGAGTTTCATTATCATTAAATTTCATATTCAGTATATTGTTTAGGTTCTGGGTTCATTAAATACAAATATTGAAGTTCATTTATCAAATACAAGTGTTGATTTTGTATCATAAATGAACGGCTTTTGAGTTGGTTCCAAAAAACATTATAACGTCCGACGATCGTAACACTTGACATATCCATATTCTGGCGATTGGTCATTCAGTCATTTCCTTTCAACTGGCAACACTGTATGTGTTGACATATTAACGTCACTATCAACCCAGCGTGAAAGCCCTTTATTATTTTTACCTTGCATATTTTGCTTTATTCAACGATTTTTCAATTCGATCTCTTCATGATGAGTTTAGAAGTTCATTTTCATCTGATGGAAAGCTGACAAATTCAACTTTTCCATCCAACCGATTGGTACAGCCTAACGAAGCACATTTTGCCATACTTCCAAAACAGGATTGAGATACTAATAAAAACTTTGTAAGATTGCTTGTAACGCCTATGGATGTGACGTGACAGCAATGTCAGAGAAGCCAGTACACCAAACTAAAGTCACTAGATCACTAAAAATGAATGGCGCTATAATCTGGCCGTACCCTGATAAGATGACAAATACGTCAATTTGCTTCAAGGGACGTTGTCACCTACGTCGCAAAATAATCTCATAAATTATCAACGTCCTAGGAATATCATAGCTGAAAAAGACATGTCTAAGCAAATTTCTTGGAGTGTGACATGTCAACGTCACCCAATTATTTTTTTCCTTCGTTTGTTTGATTAATATGCAAAACAACGATAAAATATGAGATATAAGTTAGTCTTGTACCTATGACTAGCTCACAGTAATTGTGAAACGGGTTCATTTCAAAATGAGAGCTGCATATCTGTTAATATTCATCCTTGGTGAGTCTGGTGCATGATTCAATGATACTGAAGTGAAAAAAACTGATTTTTGTTGAATGAGAGCCAACTGCACTGTTGATGAAAGTGATGTCAATTGTTGATTTTGAATTGAAATTGAATTTCGATGATGAATTGATAATACGAATTTGGCCAACTGATATCGTAAAGATAGATAATATTAGAGTGCCTCGAACATCTCATTACATGCCCTTTAAAAAGTGTGAACACGCTTGTCACCACTGACATCTCCGAATTGTCATCATTTTCAAATTTAAAACGTCAGTTCTGAAAATTCAATTGGCATCCCCGAGAAAATGTTTTATTGAGTTGTCCAAAGACGAGAAGACATTTCAAGTGTTTGTTGAAGCTTCGAATTCGAATATTCATTTCATGGAAATACATTCAATGATGTAATCTTTATATAACTACGAAATCAGCGATATGTGCCTTTGGTGTTACGCCACTGTGAGGGTTTCAAATTTTAATATGTCTGCACTCGTTCAATGAAGGGGTACAGAAAATTCAGTCCATCTCTTATATAACATATTTGTGTCTCATGTTTTTTGTTCAGCTGTTCAACATGACAAGCGTGTCCACGCTCTTTGAAAGGCGTGAAATGAGATATTCGAAGCACTCTAGATAATATTAATAATAATGTTTGAAAATTACTTACATCATTATGATTGATGACAAAAATTAATCAGTAGGCTTGAAAAAAGGGCCATTTTAAATTGAATTACTATTATTTTTTATTTTTAGTTTCTAGTAAACTCTACTATATCATTAAAAAAATCCTAATTTTGAATAAAAATTTTATCCTACAATATGTACTTGGTAAAGCAATTCAACATACAGTTCTCAACACCCTGGATGAACCACTCATAACTTGACTCTTTTTCGACGACCAGTTTTTAAAAAAAATTGACCTATGTTCATGCGGATTATGATATCAGATGTGTAAAGTGGAACCATTACACTGTTGTCTACATTTCCAATGCTGCTGGAGAAATATTTTTCTGATCAAAAGTCAGTCAAATATTATGATACACTGGGATTTCATCTCGGGATATTTTCGTGTTTTCTCCTTAATTCAGCATTGGAACAAAAATGCGATCTTTTTTTTAAGTCTTGCATTTCTTTGAATTTTTCTCTAGAAATCCACTTGAACTGAATAATGGGAAGAACTGTTCTCATGTTTTCTGGAGGACAATGAAAGACCATTGTAGAATGTTTAGGGTGAGAAGAAAATGAGAAAAAATTTCATTTCGGTAAAAAAAGTTGAAAAACGGTTACTATAACCATGCCCATTGGATTCAGTACATGATACTAAAACCAGTTTTAGTATCATGGATTCAGTATATTCAGAAATTGCCTTCTCAATTAGATAACTAACTCCAGACGTTTTCGAAAATTCCCTTCTTATTAAGATACAAGATGAGATTTTTCATATTTCAAGTTCATGAATTATGATCGATAATTTTGAATCCAAGGATTGATCTTCGGGATCGAATGCTTTCCACAGGTGATCACTGAGGACTAATACCTTCCTTATCTTATGCGGAGGTCACCCATATTTCTTAATTGAATGCCGTGAACAGGGTGTATAATAATTACAAGAACACGATATCACATCTGATATCGAAAACCGCATGGAAATCGGCCAATGTTCTCAAAATATATAGGTCCTCGAAAAAGAGTCCAATCATGAGTGGTTCATTTAGTTTTAGGGTGTTGAGAACTGTAGAATTGAATGGTATCAAAAAGTAAACTTGAATAACGAGTTGTACCAAGCCAAATTGACTTTCAAACTGTGTGCTCAGTTAATTTCAGAACATATTCCAATTTGGAATTCGCGTCTTCAAAGGTATTGTAATGGCGACTACGCTATGTTCAAGGCGCCCAGTATAGTGATCCACCCAACACAAACGTTTATCAAATACGACCCTAAGTATTTTTCATTCCACCCAGGACAATTTACAGTAAACAGTCAAAATCTATAAATAATGATCCAAACCTAACCTAACCTAACCTACCGCACAACCTGACTTAATGAATGTATTTTTTCACAGTTGCAGTTATCAACAAATCGTCCGGCCAAGGATTTCTAGATTTCGGTTTGCCAGAAATAAATGGTGAGGAAATACTAATATCACTACTTCACGACTGTCCGAACTCGATACAGGGTGTCCCTTATTCGAGCGTCATCATAGGGATCTCGAAAAATAGAAGAGATACGAGATCGGTTGAATGAGGCGAAGTAGCGCAATTTTATGCCTTACAAAACGCCGTATCGAACTTTGAAAAATCACGAATATTTTCGAAGATTTATGGAAAATACCGAATATTCCCGATTTCATTTTTATTTTCTCAAGTCTCTATTTGAATATGTGTAACAAAACTAATTACACATTCTCATTGCTACTTTGTCTGTTCTACAAAATGGTGTTATCAGATTTTCAAACAGATGTTTCGTCTTTAAACTGCCATCATCAACTTTGTTTTTTTGAATACGACCCTGCATTTCAAGAGCTTTCAATCTCCTATGATGAACGGTGTATCGCATTTAATAAAACGGTGTTTGTTTCAATTCCTATTGAAAATCGAATGAAAAATGTCATAAATATGAATTTTTTAAATAAGTGCGATACATCGTTGATTTAAGATTAAAAGTTCTTTATATCCTTGTACCCTGTAACCCTGTATATAAATATATCCATCGAAGTACTCTGTAAGTAGAGTTATGGATGCATTCGAAATCTGAAAATTGGGATTCGCTTGTACCGATACAGCAGGAGTCCGGAAGATAGTTTCTATAGAATTAATACTGATATCAAATTCAATATTTGAGAATGAGTTAATTTATTATCAAGTCTAAGTTTAACATTAAATGAAAACCTTCAATAAGTTATAGGTAACAGAGCATTTTGACTATTTAACGAACATTTTTTATTCTTGTTTTTTATGTGCATTTTTCCAATTTTCGCATAAAAATGTTGCGTGTTATTCGTGGCTATGAAGAAGTATTGATTCTGTATTCATCACGACTGATAATTTGTTACTATTATCATGGCCTACCACATTTGAAAATGTTTTCACTGTTTTTTGGCGCTGTTTCATGTGGAGATGTCAACATGTTATTCATGGCTGTGGAGGGACTTTTAAGCTCAATTCAATGGTATACGAAACAAGTATGGCGCCCAATGGAAAAACAAAAGTTTCATGGTACATCTCTGAGATTAATGAAGATAGAATATTTCTGACAAACCCAACTCTTTTGTCATGATCAATTACCTGCCCACAGAAAATTTCAAATTTATTCCTCTAATATTAACCAAGAAAATAAATAAATTTTGGGAAATAGCAATACTGTCAACTCGGCGGGACCCTGTATATAGGGAAAATCAAAGATGGCCTCATATCCAAAATCAAACCTCTACATATATTATGTTGTATATATGTACCAAGTTGATTGCTTCTATCATTAAATTGGCAATTCTCACAATAATGCCACGAATCTGCTGGAATACAGTAATTGCCAACCTATGTGTTGAGCGACACTGATAATTTTAGAATAAAAAGTGAGCAACCTAAATGAAATCGCCATAATTGTATTCATTTCACTAATAAACTGATACAACTGAATCAAGCTACCGGTAGCTGGATCACTACGATCTCCAGATTGACGACTACTGGTATAAAGAAACTAGCTGTCAACAGTAACCAACGAATACATAAGTTTTATGATTATTCAACCTGACATACAAGCCAATTTGAACCAACATTCAAGTTCCAACCTGACATGACATCATCATTATTATTTCACAGTCAATGGCAGCTCTGCAGGAGACCTATTCGACATCCTGAACCCGACCAGCAACGACTCCAATGGCGGCCTCATCTCCTCAGGCCCAAGCCCAACCAGCTCTGGCATCGTCAGCAGAATCGACGATGCTATCGACGACGGTATCGACGCTTTCAGAAACATAGCCTCTTCGGCGCTAAGTCCCTTCATCGGAATCGCCAGAGCGCTGACGTCAACAGCCGAATCTCTGCATCTGCCCGGCGCCGACATCTTCAGAGACATACTGGCAGGCAATTCTACAGACCCTTTCAGTGCCATAGCCAGGAACGTTATATCCTTCTTCTCGTCGAGTATAGCATCGTTAATCCCAGGCTTACAGAGCGGTGCACGTCAGCTGTCAACGCTGATACAATCTCTCCTCAACGGCGATGATATTTCCTCGCTTCTGGGATCTATCCGTTCAATTTTCGACAATGGCTTCAGGCTAGCAGCTTCTGCTATTGAAAGAGTGGTTTCCTCGTTACCGGGCATCGGAGACATAGCTTCTCGCATATTCAACGGTACTTCCAGCGGATCGGACGTCATCAGGCGAGTGATCTCGCAGGCAACCAATGACGGTATGATCAGTCTGAGTGAATTAGTGGGCTTTATCGATATAGCGATCGACAATGGTGATAACACCACAGCGGCCACATTGGGTAACCTGCGAGCAGCACTCACCGGAGGTGGAACTACTATATCGGATATCATCGGAAGGGCTATCTACTCTGTGCCAGGAGCCAGCAATGGCAATATCAGCATTTCGGGTTTGCGCAGCGCTATCCAATCGGAAATCGCCAATGGAGGAAGAGAGGTTGCAAGAGCGTTGGGGCCTCTGCGGGCAGCACTATCTGATGAAGATTCCCGAGTGTCAGATTTCTTCGGAGGGGTTATCTCCTTAGTAAGAGATGCTCTTTCTGAGCTCTGGCAATTTATATCACCAATATTCAACAATCGAGCGCTTTTGATACTTCTAGGACCTCTCGGATCGATAATCAGATTCGGATTGAGCGCTGTATTAACCCCTATATGGAACGGTATTTACGGTCTTTTGAGCTCTGGCGGCTCTTTGATCATCGGTGGCATTTGGACAATATTGAGATCAGTATTAACTTTAGCGATAAAGATAGTATTGGGTATCATAAGGGTGGCATTCGTCCCAATAAAAGGTATCTTCAATACTGCTATCGTCCTTAAGAGTTTTGTTGCCTCGATATTCTTCAATGTCATTTCGACAATATTGACTCCTTTCCTAACCATACTCAATCTTGGAATAAACACAGTATGGGGCGCCATAAGGCTAGTATTTTCACCGATAAAAGTAATCTGGAACGTCGTTTATACACTGTCGACGCCTTTCCGATCACTAATAAATTTTGGAATCAGGATCGCATCGAATATCGTTAGGGCAGCGTTTTACCCAGTATTATTACCTTTCCGGTCCCTACTGGGTTTCATTCGACTATTATTCGCTCCGATATCAATGATATGGAACGGTTTGTCAACTCTTATTCGATAGTTAAGTGAGTAGATTAATGTTCACTGGTGAATAAACCATAAATCAGATAATCGAATTTGTTTTATTGAATTCTCACTATTAAAAAAAACCTATCAAACGCAGATACTCATATATGTATACTATCTGTAGGTTAATTGAGGAGGTGACACATTCATTTCTCCAGATTTTTTGTAATTTTCTCTCCTGGTTTCTATAAATAAAAAAATGAGTTATGTTTCAATACAGGGTGTTATTTAAGTCTGTGACCAAACTTCGAGAGTGATCATTTCATCAAGATTGTATTGATAGTTGTTTTTCATGATTACCTTGTATAAGCTGTCAATATGACAAAATTCAGTTTGGTTGGTGACTGAGAAAGTCTCAAATTTTCAGAATAATACTCATTGAGGTTATTGGGTAATCCCGATGGGTGCTTACATTAAAATTTGAAATCGGATCAATTTTTCATTATTTCCTCAGAAAATAAGTGATTTACAAAAAAATAACACGGGTCAAGAAAGTTGTATTTTCAATTGTTTAATCTGATAAGAATATCGAACTTAAAAAAAATGAGACGTAGGTACCATATTCACCATTAATATCGAAAAGGTAACCCACTGCGACGCCACTGGAATCATTATTTTGAATCTAATTATTACACCAAAACAAGCTTCTTGATAGTGTTAACAAAACCACCAAGTTTCATTGAAATCGGAAAACAGAAGTTTGCGTAATTAATAAAATATGATTTTTTTACTGAAACTTAGACACCTTGTAGAATAGAATAGAATATAATGGAATATGTATTCATCCAATAGACCATTTTACATTGGTCAAGGAAAAGTCAACAACAACAAAATCATGAAAAAAGCATGATTAAACATTCACATGAAGTGGTTAATATAATAACAAACAAGCTGTAGGAAACAAAATAGTAAATTACATGAAAATCCCTGATTAGTAAGAAATTCTATCGTCTTTTGCTTTAGACTTTTTGGATTTGGTAGCGACCTGTTCTCGATGGGCAGACAATTGAAAAAGATCTTATAAGAAATGGGTGATTTTTCGAAAAGATTAGTACTATGCTTCGTCATTTTTATTGAATCCCCATTTCTCGTTGGATATATGTGCTGTTGACCATTAGTTGTTGATATTGAAGCTTCATTCTTCATTAAAAAAGTTACTAAGCCGTGGATGTATATGCAATGAAGTCAGTATTTTGTGCCTTTGAAATAAGGTTTACATGAATCTGTTCTCTTGAGGTTGAATATAAGCCAAATAATTCTTAATTTATTAAAGATTTTTGATCCAAAACCCTCTTAAGCTGTGTTCCATTTGAAGGTGCTATGATTGCATCATTCACAGGAATATTCAAAAGTTTTTCCACGCATTTTTTTCCAAAGAATCGAATGAGAACAGTTTTTCCAGAATTGACAAGTAGTTAATTATTTTTACCCCAATTTGTGAACTCATTGGCAACTAAATTCAGCTCATCTTGGAGTTCCAAAAGGTTATCGGCTTCCTTTGCGATAGATGTATCATCTGCGAATAAGACTGTGCATTCAGATTTTATGTGAAATGGAAGGTCGTTTACGAATAATAGGAAGACGAGCGGACCTAGGACCGAGCCTTGTGGAACTCCAAGGTCAACATTGTGCATATCTGATCTCGCTTCAGGCATGTTTACAAAAATCTTTCGGAATTTGAGATAAGATATTATACATGATAACATATCCCCTCTTATGCCAACGGCATATACCTAGGCTTTAGATAGATCAAAGAATAGTTCAGCGACCCTGGTCTACGCAACTGTATCTTGAAAACGAAGCATTTCTGGACCCATCTTTATAGATCTATTCGTCTGAGAATTATCCAAATAATCACCCCTTGAAGTTTGGCCATTGATTCATTGATAGTCATCGAAACCTTGGTTCAAAAAATGTTTAAAGAAGAGGAATAGATATATAAAAAAAATTATAAAATTTTTCTTGAAGAAAAAAATATTCCACCTCCCTGATTAACATATAGATAATATACACTCATTGATATTTCATACGTCAGCTGTCCACGGAAAAAGATCACAAGGAATTATTGAATAAACATTTTTCTCAATCAGTCATGAAAAATACGTCACCAGATGACTACTATCAATTCTAGGCTAACTGGGTATTTGAATGTTTCAATAATTATTACTATCTATAATGTATGATTATGTATTCCAAAAAAGTATCAATGTCATTATACAGAGCAATTCATATTCGAGTCAAATTTTGTTTATTAGGATTGAAATAACGTATTTTGAAGCTTGATTGTGATATTCTACGTATTTTGTAATGTACTTTTTATATTAGGTCGAGGAATTAAAGGAAAAAAACAAGATCAGCGCAGTTCATTCTAAAGTGATTCAAAAATATATTTCGATCAGAAATGACTATTAACGTTTTCCAATGAAAGTAGAAAAACGAATTATATTGGATAACTAAAAATCATCGAATTCAAAATAATAATCAGTACGATAATGCACATTGCAACATCGGAATTTGTACGGGCTTGTCAGTACAAGTATCAGTGGATTTTCTGCGAAGACTAATTCCTTTATTATGAATATCTGTTATATGTGTATAATACAAGTTATTTTCTTGAAGATATCACTTTGAAGACCAGTTGACTTCAAAAATAGTTACCTAATTGATTGCTTCAACTATAATGAGTTTCACATATGATAACCTTCATAATATATTGCAGGATGACATATTTCAATTCCGTTCTCAATTGGCGAAAAATATATTATTATTGATTTACATTCGATATTATTTTTGAATCAAATGATATTAATAATGATGAAATCTGATGCAGACATTTTTGTTGAAATAAATGAAGTCTCAAGTGTTATCAAACATTTTATATACAGCCAGTATTGGAATACTGTTCTCATGTATGGGGTTCAGCACCCAAACATACGCTGATGCTCTTAGAATCTATCCAGAGAAGAGTCATTCGCCTGGTGGGTGATGCCACACTCACTAAATCGTTGACCCCATCAAAACACCGTAGGAAAGTCGGCGACCTGTCACTTTTCTATAGACTTCCACGGGAAATGTTCCACAGAAATCTCTGCTATAATTCCATCACTAGCAATACCAGTCAGACTAACTCGACAGGCCTAGTCAGCACATCCCTTTGTCGTTAAACTTGAAAAATCCCGAACACTCTGTCAAAACTCGTTCGTCTATAGAACGGCGAAGCTTTGGAATTTTTCGCCAATGGAAGTATTCCTAAGAAATTATAAACTCGAAAAGTTACAAAAAAATCCAACACCCTATCCTTCCTAAGTACGCACGATGTTCCACGAACATTATAGGAATTTCCTTTCATGCGCTCCAAGAGATAAAAAAAATTGCCGTGAATATTTTTGTGATAATTGAAGGATCTAGAATGAAATCTCATTCAATACTCTTGGAAAAATATCTCGCAGAGAAAATCGCCTATAGGAAGAAAACTGGGGAAGGAAATCTAATATGCAAAAATCTCTCAGGAAGAAACTTCGGATACATTTAGGGAAGAACATGAATTATAATTTCTAATTCTTAAAGAGATTTTCATTCATTATATTTGGATGAAAACACCATTTTCTTGGCATTTCTACTCCTCATTAATTGCTGAAATGAATCCACAGTTCCAAAAACGCAAAAAATTCCCTCAAAGTAGGTTTCCCATGAAAAAATTAAAATTCAGAATTACTCTTCGCTTCCTTGAGATTTGATTCAATAATGGAAACCTGATGTCAAACCTTGTTATTATAATATGTTTACGCCACAGCATCAAATCATTATTTCTTGTTCTATCATTTGAAATAAATTCCCTCAAAATGTCTCCAGCATATCATAATTATTATGAGGTTGAGATTGTCACTCAAAGCTGCAAGTAATAATAATTCAAGCACATGGACATATCCCCTAAACGGTCCTGATGTCCTGAAACACTGAGGTTTCGACATGGTTCACCTGTGTTATGGGATTCTATGGATCTCTTGGGGTTAAGTGGAAGAACAACTCATTTAGTGGAGTTTTCGCTGAATGAGCTGAACTTCGCCCTTTATTTTCACATAATTCTAATTGTTATTTCAATCATTGTAATTATTGTGTTGAAAATAAAAAAGACCTTTATTATTATTATTATTATTATTATTTCCGATGTTATTATGACTGATAACTGTTCGAGTCATGAAATATTCACCAATTGATTGTTTTCTAAACCAATTTAAATAAAACAAGTGGATACGAATCCACAATTAGCAAAATCATACAGAAGCAAATAAGCTGAATCAGCTGATATGTCTTCCCACAGTGTCTTAACAACTCTTACGTCAAACGAAATGATCAGAGCGCATGCTCAGCACTCCGACATATTTGTGCCCCAGACTCGGAAACAAAAACAGGAAGAAGAAATGAATAAAAGGAGAACTGTAATCTTTGTGTTACTTCTTATATTATTCGTAAGAGCGCAACACGGTAGTTTTGCTGTGGAGCCCTCTGAGAGGCAATAGCTGAACTACTCTGCCACTGTCGAAACCTCGCTAACTATACGTCGGAATTAATTTTACTGTTGAATCATTCCCAAACGACATTGTTCTAGAAGCTGATTATTTCATCAATGCTTTATTGGATTGCT